AAAACTCTGATGAAAGTTTTAGGGAAAACGTATGTGCTAAATGAAGATGTATGAAGAAAACGTGAGCCGGTATATTCAGGTCATAAAAAGGCATTGTGACTTCTCCCTTGCTCGCTCTCTCTCAGGTCACTTGCTCTGGAGGAAACTAGCTATTATGTCATGAGGACACACACACAGTCCTAAGAAGATACTGATTTGGTGAGTTAACCAAGATGTCCAGCCAAGAGCTACATAAGTAAGCCATCTTGGAAAAGGTTTCCTAGCCCCAGTCAAGCCTTCAGATGACTGCAGTGCTGGCCGACATTCTTACTGCAACCTCATGAGACACCAGTGCAGAACCAGCTAGCTAAGCCTCTCCATTCTTGACTCTCAGGAACTACGTGGTAACAAATATTTGTTCTTTTAATTTGCTAAATTTTAGGAAATGTTATACAACAATAAATAACTAATACTATAGGCAAGGTGTGAACTCTCTGTTCACATTAGATCAATGAAGTTTTCTGCTAGGAGCTATGGCAAATCCTACACCTTGGAACTAAGCCTCACAGCAATCAAAAAAGATGAAGAGGGAGTCATTTTGTCTTCCCATCTCCCACAACATCCAGCAGAGAGTCCTGCACACAGTAAATACCTATGTTTGGTAGCAAACTAGTTTACACATAGGATTCCCTAATTGACCAAAAAAAGTAGTCTTAATGTTTTTTAAAAGTAAAATGATCCCTTAGAATCTCCCTATATAAATTGAATCCTAAAATCTGTAGTTTTTGTATTGTTGCCATACCTTCCTTTACAGAGCACTACAATGTTATCAATAAAAACTGAGACGCATTAGAAGCTTTTCCCTAAATTTAACCAAAATAAAAAGGAAGTTAAAAAAGAAATTCTAGAGACTATGAAGAGTTGACTGCTTCAGAAATAAAAGGGGTAAATAGTGAAAAGGAGTTTTATTATGAAGTATGGGCAAAATATTACTTTATATAAAAGTATTTTGTTGCTTCAAACATACAGATCCTTAATAAATCTTGACAATAACCACAACAGGCAGCCTTCTAGCATTAATTAGATTTAAAAGTTTAGCCTCTATAGTAGAAAAAGATTTTCCCATTCATACTATAGAGAAACTGAACACAATATGTCTGCTTCCCAGTTTCAAAGCAATCTTAATTATACCTCAAAGTTTGTAACCTAAAAAGTTCACAAAGTTTGATCCACAAAACGGTAAGGGCCTGTGGCCTTTGCTGAGCATTTAAACTAAGTTTCATACTATATGCCCTTCCCTTTTACCCCATCCTCACACATGCACTTTTCACTTGACACCTAGATTTATCCTGAAAGACTGATAAAAGTGGCTGAAAGAGGTCCTGACTTTTTCTAAATAAGTCATGGCTTAAATTCTAGTTG